AACTGCCACCGACGGGGCCAGGCAATTCCATACTCGAGCTGAAGCCAAACTTTAAACTCGTCCGCATTGCCAACGTAGAAGATATCAACATGGTTGTAACATTAGAATTTCAGATAACATTATCTTGGGTAGATGATCGAGTGTTACTGAAACACCTTCATACACAGAAAGGCGGCACCATCCTAACGAGAGAAGAAATACAGAAATTATGGACGCCAAGATACCAGTTCATGAACTTGGCTCGCGGAGAGAAAAACCTTCTTGAAGAGAACATATTCATCGCTTCCGTAAATGATCCTCAGAAGTCTAACTACAATGATGTTGACTTGGGTAAGTCAGGCTTCCAGGCTTTAAAGGATCTTAGCTAGGCGCTGTACATTAAAAGAAAGTTTTGCACGAGTAACTGTACGCCTCTAGGTTTCACTATACTAATTGCTTCCGGATTCTCCTTATCTCAAGAACTGTTTTAGAATAGATATTCGAATCTTATGTAATCTGTAACAATATGTTTCATGCTTAGCATGGATTTGTAGATTCTGAACGAATTTATCATTTCCATTCTAGACCTGACTTATTCTGGATCGAACAACAGCCTATCCATCACCCAGTACTACACCGGAACATTCATGTGTGTATTCACATACTTTAGTTACCCCTTCGATGTCCAGACCTGCACGATTGAAATCATTCTCCCAACCAAATATGAAGACTCCGTCAGGTTCGCCAACGAAGAGGCGAGGGTGGCTTACGTCGGCTCCCAGGACCTGGCACTGTACACCGTCCAGAAAGTCCAGATCGGCGAGTCGTCGGGGCCTCGGAGGATGGTCCTGCAGTACAATCTGAGGAGGCGCCCCGGCGTGATCATGATGACCACTTTCCTGCCGTCGGCTTTGCTCCTGTTGGTGAGCTGGGCGACGCTCTTCATCAAGCTCGAGGCCCTCAACGTCAGGGCGGTGATGGCCCTCACGACGCTTCTCGTCCTCTACACTCTCTTCTCCAACGTGTCCAAATCCCTCCCGACCACCGCCGAGATCAAGCTCATCGACATCTGGTTCTTTTTCATCATATTCATCCTCTTCTCCAACATCATGGTGCACGTGTTCATCAGGGAGACCACGACGGCCGTCCACTGCCTCAAGACCTTACCCAAAGTGAGGCAAGTGAAGGTGCAGAGTGTGTCGCCCGGAGGTAACAGGGTGGCGGTCCTCCTCCCTTTCCTTAATATTTACAGACTGTTTATCATTCCCTTTCTAGTTATCATCTTCAATCTGGTATTTTGGCTCTATGTGTTTGTGATATAGCTGTGTGCTTAGTTGCTGTGAGAAAAAAGTATGGGAAGGGTATTTTACTACCTGGTATGATCAACTAAAAGAAATATATTGCCTATATATTAATCTACTCACGAAGTTAAACTTTAGGTGCACGATTTGATCATGGGTGTACCTTCTTTTGGCGTTGATACTAGTAGAATTCCTATGATATATCAGTTTCATATTTGACATTTATATAAACTTTTTGTCTGTATTTTGCTTATTATCATTACACTATTCTCTTTATATTCGTATACTCAAACATCTCTCAAAGTTATCGTTCTATTCATTTTATCAATCCTCAAAACCATAAGAATCTCATACGCCATAGTATTCTTACTTTTCAAGCCTGTTTACAATACTAAAATAAATTTATATTTCAAAGATTTTTGATATACTGCCTTATCCATCGGTTCTTTTAAATTATTGTTTGCAATGATTGCAAACAATAATTTAAATAATTATAATAATTTAAATAATTTAAATAATTTTCTGCTGAAAAAGAAGCTTTATGTAAACATCGGAGTAAGATTGATTTCGCTTTCACACTGAACAGTGATATGAAAAGTATATTATAACAATTATACCAGAGATATTATAATCACATTTTCTCGTTCTTTAATGTTATTTAACTTATTTAGGGCAACAGCATAATCCCATATATATTCTGTAGAATGTTACATCTAGCCTTGGGATGCAATTTCATTAATTTATTAAAGTCAGTGATAGGATGCTGCTGCTGACAATAGATTTTTCCCAATATCTAAAAGTTACCCCTAGTATATTTGTAAATTTCTTTGATATTTACTCAGAGAAAACTTAGATCATTGGGAGTAACTAAATTAAATCAAAATAAATCAGGATTTCATGGAGGGCTATTACAAATTTGAAATTATTCTTCTTTCGAGTTTACATTTTATTTTTTATCATGATAACAATAATAACAATTATTATCATTATTACTAACATTATTGTTATCATTGTCATTATTATTCTACATTATAACTACCATTGTTATCATTATTTTTTATAACATTATTATTATTATTAGTAATATCATCAATATATTTGTGATAACTACTATTATTATCTTTATCATCATTGTTATTGTTATTATTATTATTATTATTATTATTGTTATTATTATTATTATATTATCATTATTATTATTATTATTATTATTATTATTA